CTCAAGTCCCTTCTCTAGTCCCTTCTCTAGTCCCTTCTCTAGTGCCTTCTCAAGTCCCCTCTCTAGTCCCATCTCAAGACCCTTCTCTAGTCCCTACTCAAATCCCTACTAAATTCCCTTCTCTAGTCCCTCCTTTAGTCCCTCCTCTAGTCCCTTCTCTAGTCCCTTCTCTAGTCCCTTCTCTAGTCCCATCTCAAGTCCCTTCTCTAGTCCCTTCTCTAGTCCCTTCTCTAGTCCCTTCTCAAGTCCTTACTCAAGTCCCTTTTCAAGTCCCTTCTCTAGTCCTTTCTATAGTCCCTTCTCTAGTCCCTTCTCAAATCCCTTCTCATTTCCCTTTTCTAGTCCCTTCTCAAGTCCCAACACCATGTCCTGTCTCGTTGGGGTCCCGCCGACTACTGTTCTGCCGGGGTTCCTGCCAACCCCATGTCCTGGTCCGTTGGGGGTTCCGCTGGGGGTCCTGCCAACTCCGTGTCCTGTCCTGTTGGGGGTCCCACCGACCACTGTTCCGCCGGGGGTCCTGCCAACTCCTTGTCCTGTTTCGTTGGGGGTTCCGCTGGGAGTCCTGCCAACTCCGTGCCCTCCTGTGCTGGCGATCCAGCTGACCCTGGAGGGGCCCCATTGCGGCCTACGCCGTCTTCCTGCCCGTCCTCCGGAGCTGTCCCGGCGCTGCCTTCCTGCCCGTCCTCTGGAGCTGTCCCGTCGCCGCCTTCTTGCCCGTCCTTCTGCTCGGCCCCCTGAGTTTCCCAGCCGCGGCCTTCGCCCTCGAGCCCGTCCCCCTGACTTTCCCAGTCGATGCCTTCGCCCTCGAGTCGGGCCCCCTAATTTACCCCGAAGAGGCCTTCACCCCTGTCTTTGGCCCCCTGAGTTTCCCCCGCCGCGGAATTCCCAGCTCTGTTGCTGTTCCCCCGGGCCGTCCGCCCGAGTCCCCCTTCTCGGCCTCTGCTTCATAAAGTCAAACACTATTATCTTTTAAATAATACTTCTATAATCAAATTGAGAATTATTTTCGTTATCTGAAAGGAGCAGACTGTCTGAGCTCTGGATAAAGCAAAAGTCCAACAAGATGATATAAACTTGTTTTTCAAGAACTGTCAAGTTTAGAAAGGACTTGACTTTGGCAAAGATTTAGAGTCCGAGAAAACATGTTTGTGTACTCCTGTTCACTTGGGGATTCCAGATTATTGTCTGAACAGTAATTCCAGATTACTGCACAGACAGGCTTCTTACTGCATATTATGATCCGGGACCTAAAACAGTGTACTGTGGAGATAGTGATAGTCCTGGCAGGCAGCAGTGAGCAATGTGTTATGATATTTTAAACGTTCTGATTGCATTTACAAAAGTTTTTTTCTACAATTTGTGCCGACCAGCTGCCCACAGACCGTCAGCAAGAACAAACACCTGATACATCAGATAGAATCTGTGCAGCAACATCTGGCAACACAACCCATTATTTTGTACATACGGTAGCCCACACATCTGCTGCTTTAGTGAAAAAAAGGTTGAGCAATATCTCAGATATGCCCTCTCTGTCTTTTCACATTGTAATCCTCAAGACACTACCATACAGAAAGCTTCTGTTAGTTGAGCGACAACTTGTTTGTCGTCCTGAGTCGAGATGCTCTGAGTTGGTGGCTGCTAAGCCATTTTACAAACTGATCTTTTGTACCCTTTTTGCAATTCATTAACTGTTGCTTGCTGACTCAAAAAGAGAGAGCGCCGCTCAGGATAACCCACCCTCAAGATCAGCAGACACCCTGAGACAAAGGAGCAGAGGGATGGAGGCGTAGGAACACGTCTGAGTTTGAAAAGGGAAAGAGATGCAACTCTTCCCGCTGCAGTCATTGTTGTAGCACATTTTCAGGAGAAATCCTCCAGTCTGACCTAAAAGCAGGCTCAGCAGCCGGGCTCAGAGATTTACTAATTGTTTTGGTGTTACTTGACCTCATGGCACGTACTGGAGGAAAACAGTGTCATGGGACTGTTTTGCAACTTGATTATAGCTTGAGAGATTACAGTTGGTCATGGAGAAGGACACGGCAGCGTTAGTACACTCAGCTTCACAAAGTGACTCACAGAGACACGAAAAGACATGAGTCTGCTGAGACGCTGGCAGAATGAGTAACGTAGGAATATGTTTGGTATTTAAAGTAACATTTACGTTTTTACTTTCCAGACGTGCAAAATCATAACAAATTCAAGTTATAAAAACACAAAACATATACCAGAATAAATCTGTAAAATATGCAAACAGCAATTTACATTTGGTTATTTAGATCCATCCAAAGAAAAACATGGACATGTTTTACTCTTGTTCCAGTTACTATTAACTCTGTTAAAACTTGACCAATATGCTGAAAGTAGTTAATGTATCTTTGGAAAATGTATAATTTTAAAGACTAAGTCAAGCTATAATGAGAAAGCTGTATGAAAGGGACAAAGGAACAGACTGTCTGTGTTGCACTTCTTCCAGATTAAAGCTCACATGTACAGAATGATCACATGCCTATTGTTGGAGCTATATATGTCTTTATATTATTTAATAGTTTAACATTTATTTGCTTGCTGTTTATTATTATCATTTATTTATATGTATTCTTAGTTAGCTTTATAAGTTAAAGTAGTTTCTATGCTTTTATTTTGAAGGCATGTTTTGGGCACTGGGTGATTAGAGCACCTGGTGTAATTGTATATATTGGAGACAGGTGGGTGGTGGGAGCCAGAGCACTAGTAAGCAAACGGTTTTCCACCAGGGTGTTTCGAGCCACAGGGTTTTCCAACCACAGGAAAGGAAAGCCATAGGAAAGGCTTAAGGAACAAACCATAGGAAACCTGTTCATTGTCAATGATATTGGATCATAATAAATGTACAACGGAGAATCTTGTCTGGACCTGGATCATTGCCCCGCGTAAGATCCGCTAACTAGTGCCTCAGCGGCTGTATTATTTTAAGTTAATTATCTGTTTTATTTCTATATGATTTTGGCCGCTACAATCACCATTCAGATTTCAGGACATGGTTGGGTCCGTTTAATTATGTGCCCACACAAAAAATGCTAGTTTTAT